TGTCCTAGGTGTATAAGATAGCAAGAAATAATGTCAAAATAAAGTTAATGCGAAGCTAAAACTAAGTGAAATAAACTCTTACGATAAAAATCTTTATAAATATTAAAGATTGACTACATGTTTTTAAAGAGTAGATATTTAGGTATCTTTTTTAAGCGGTACTCATCGAGTTTGGAAAAACAGCTGGACTGGGCCAAATTCTCTTCACGGTTACGTTCTCATGGTTTTTCATAATATTTCCTTATAGTTTAATCTAATATAGTTATTTAGTCTTGTGTCAAATTCATAATCACTTTTTGCACTGTTTATTGGCGCCATACTGAATTCAAAAATATTGTTAGAAAAAAATGTTCTGACCTTATGAGAGGTTGGTTACGTGCTTCTCTCAAATATACACAAATTCGACTTATGGCCTCGTTTAGAAAATTTCTCCAAACTTCATTATACGACTTTTTCAAGTACAGATTTGGTTTCATCCCCATAATTTTAGGCTGGATGCAATTTTTCGTAATGTTTGTGCTTGTATTTTAGATTTAACGGAGAAACGAGGCCGTATGTTGAATTGGTGTAGTGCTTCTTCTAATTTGTTCAAGATAATGAAAGCTTCGCGGGGAACAATTCATTAATTGGCACTACTTTACAATGGTATTTACATTTTCTAACAACTCTTGATTGATGCTAACAAAGTTCTTGGTTATTGACTTGACTCTGAAGTGAACAAGTGCATCCAAACTTTCTTTTAAGAGCCTCGAAGGCCAAAGCTTACTCTCTTGCTTCATCTTCCCGAAGTGCATGCACATGTTGAAAATCTTGTTATTTGACATTATGTCCCTGTTTAATTTGAAACTTTCTCGTGGGCCAATAGTTATGCCTGTCATTTCTACAGGATTTGACCCTTGCATCGAAAAATCATTGACGAAATCTCAAACAGGCGTTTCTCTTGTGTAGAATCTTCTGCATAATTCTCATTTTGTGGAAACTACCCGCCAGAACTAAGACACCTTTATACATTAGCAAGACTTTTCCAAATAATATGAAAAAAATTGGCGTAGCTCAACTACACCTGCAAATGATGGAGATTTCAATCTTGAAATCTTTAGAAAATATAAACGTGCCAAACTAGACAAAAGCCAAGTAATTGATTAACTTAACCATTAGGGGCTACTCTATGCCTTAACCCTTTATATATCCACTGTAACATCATAACCACTTACGCCTCATATCTTGTCAACATGGATATTCCACAATAGTATCAGTAAAAGAGACCCAAAATGGCGGAAATTACCAATTTCCCGTACTTGTGACTTGCGCATATGGTGACGTCATCAATACTTTGACACGTGATAGTTTTTAACTGGTTGATTTTAGAATATATGTTTCTAAGCATTTTTTGTTCAGTTTTTATGCTCTTTTGATTGATGTTGTTTGTTTTCAAATTTGACGATTTTCATTTTTTCCTGACCGTTAAAATTTACGTCATCGATCACGTGACATCTAGGGAGAAATTTTTTTGGACACCCTTCAAAATTTCAAGGTATTAGTCGAAGGAAGTGGAAACAAGTGAAAAACCTCCGGTTACCCTCTCCGCCAGTTTGTTAGGAAAAATTCCCTGTCTAGGGGGTTGACATTATTTCATAATTCATAACGAAATCTTGACATTATTTTATATTTCAAAATTAACAAATAAAATATTTCAAAATTATCAAAAGGCCTTGAAATAACAACAAATTCTTTGATACCAACTAAACTGAAGTATATGCTTGCTACTCGCTCTATCTATGATTAGCTTGGTGGAGTTCTGGAAACACTTAAAAGACACTCTTTCTACTTTGGCTTAAAACACGTCTATATACGGTAAAAACCCGCATGTAAGAAGCAACTTTTTCGGAATTCGTAGCAATGAAATAGTAGCAGTGATTGTCTTATAACAACAGTTCAAATTTAACATTGTGCATTTTAAGTTTTTTTCAACTTATTTTTTCCGAGTTTTGAGTTAATTCAATTTATTTTCACCTTTTTGGCATTTGGTAAAAACAGCCCATGAATTAAATGGTTAAGCCCTACATATAAGAACCTGTTAATTGTTTGCTTAAACAGGTTCTTATATTTTGGAGTATTAAAAAGCAAAGAAGGTTCTTAAATCCCTAGGTTCTTACATGCGGGTCTTTACTGTATCCCATGTTAGGCAATGCTTTGATAATCTTTTTGGTCAATTTGTAACAGCTTTTAAATGACTGGCATCCTCAGGAAATATTTAGAAAAAATATCATTTTCTTCTACTTAAAATTCCTATGAATGCAAATGGTTGTGACAGTGGTGGAAATTGAGTATTTTTTCTGGGGGGGGGCAGGGTGTCAAAGACACTTATCCGACAAAAATTTTGCATACATTACTAGCAGGGATGTCGTCGGAAAAATTTTAACATGGAGGGGTTCTATGAAATTTCTAAGTTGTTCTTTTCATGTAATAATTGCAATTT